CACTCTCTCTTGGCCCTGAAGAAGCTGGTTTCGAGCAAAACTGCAGCACAGCCGTTCCCAGCCCGTTTGTGTGGTCGGGTCATTTGTAGCAGGAACTGAGTCATCACATCCCGCTGCTGCCGGGATTTCTTCACTTTCTTCAGTGAGGCTGTTCCTTTCAGAGCTGGACTGTTCAAGCACAGCTTTTCAGGTCCTTTTAAACAAAATGCACACTATGCCACTGGTTATGTCTGGTCTGCTCTGAAATGTGAAAGGATATCATTCACTGAACAGCCACAGTCTCTGAAGGGTTGCAGACCAGGGATTTGTTTCCGCAGGGCAGGACATAGAGGGTGGAGTGCAGAAGCGGGGGCAGGCACCTGACTGTTTCTGATTTGTCCCTGCCATGAGAGGCTGTTGAACTAGTATTAGAGCATGCTTTTCATGGACAGAGTTGATGGTTATGGATGGAATGCTGTCCTGTTTCAGAAATGGGAGGAGAAGGCTCAGAGTAAAAGCATTTCAGACATTTTGCTCTGATGGGTTTTGCTAGCAAATGCCAGACACAGCTTGCCTTGGAGTAAAGCTGATGTTAAAGGCACGCACATTTATTTGAGAGAAAAGGTTGGTTTTCCTCCTGTTCCCTCCTCCTCTATTTCTAAAAAGTCTGTGAAGGTTCCAGCCCTGTCTTAATCCAAGCTCCCCTGCAATTAGTGCAACCAGTGCACTCCCTACGGACGTGTATGCCAGATGAATTAGTGTTCCTTGGGGAAGGAACATACGCATCAAGGGAGTCCATGTGCCACAGAGCATATGCTGTGCATCAGTCTGGTAAAAGTGGCAAGCTGGGATCACTGAAGTGGCTGTGATGAGGACAGCACTTAGGCTGAGTTGTCACATCCTGCCACTCAGTGTCAACTCTGAACATCACTTCTTTGTTAGCAGCTGGGCCAATTGATCAGAGCCTTTACTCCATAAAGGAAAATGCTAATAGGCATTTTTTTCCTTAAGATAAAGAAGAGAGTTTTTTCTCCATGGATTTGCTACAAGATGAAGAGCATACCAAAGTTTAAAGCATCATAAACTCACACTCAGGCTGAGGTTTCCTCTTAAAGCTTAGTTGGCTGGGAGGGTAGACCACTGAGATATGAGATGCCTGTATCATTATCATTATGTTACTGGCCTTGCTGTGTTTTCTCTGGAAATTGCAGCCATTCTTCAGTCAGCCATTACTGTGAGTTTCAGTTTTGGTGGGACCTGGAATGGGAGATGGATGCAGTAAATTAATCTAGAATATTTGAAAACAGATCAAGTGTGCTAAGTGCTGAACGTGGCAAGATGGAGGTAGTGTGGTATTGGGAGTTAACTCACTGTAGAACTGGTGTATACTGGAATAAGTGAATAAAACAGAACAAAATGCCTAGCAGTTATGACGTATTACAGGAAAGCTGGAAAGCCTGGCAGAGCTTAGAGTCTATAGCTTACATGTTTTATCTATGAGCTTGGAGAGCTGTTGGAAAGTATTGCATTTACCACAGCAGCTGCTTATCGAATTCCTGTGATTTCTGCTGGATATGGTGGTCACAGCCTCTGTGCATTCCGTGTGGGTGTGGAGATGCTTTGACAGAAGGAGAAAGGATGCATCAGGAGTGCATTGCTGGGGACAGAAATACCAGTCTGTAGACCTGGTTTCTGGCCACAACTGATGTGCTGTGAGACTAGAGAGGTCTGGAGGGTTTTTGTAGCTTCTGTTTTCTGTGTTTTCTGATAGCAGAGATTAATGTGTCTCTGGGTAAAAATCAGCAGCCATTGCTGGACAGGCATTTACCAGCAATATCATTACAATCCCTTTTAGCCTTGAATCTAGGATTAGGGGGAGTATAATCTATTACATTTTTCAGCCTGTGTTTTTCAGTGGAGGTTTCTCATTTTTATGTGATAAAGAGTACAGCTGCCTGAGAAATCTATGCCCAGCCTTGCTTTGTATCACAAAGCCCTTTCTTGGCACTATTTTGATGGTAATGCTGCTGTGGATTCTTTATGTGTAGAAACTATAGACTGCAGAAGAGAGACCTATTTTCAGCCTTGGTTGTTCTTAGCTCTTGATTAGAATTCATCATAAGCACAGAGGGAGGCAAGCGTTACCGAGTTCAGCAGATTAGTAAACTGAGGTGTGAAGGGAAAATGATGAACCTGGAAAGCATTGAAAGTAAGAGGAGACATCAGCCTTTTCCCAGAGCAACACCACTTGGACCCTGCTAAAATATCCTGCCCTGAAGGCAGCTTGCACCTAGCCATGCACGGGGCATCTGCATTTCCTAAGCTCTCAGTGACATGAGCACTGAGTCTTTGAACCACCTAAGGCCACTCGAGAGCTGAAGTCTTACTTTACTGCTAATAAGAATCTGTCATTTCCCCTGAACAAGAGGCTTATGTTACAGACAACCTGTATTGATTTGACAGCCTTTTTGTACTTGTACTTTTATACTCACACTTAGTACTTACTTTTTGTACTAGGTACAAAAAGTATTCACTTACTCCCCCTTTGTACTAAGTAATAAGCTAATCAACTGTCAGAATTAACTACTGGAATAGCAGGAGGAAGCATCCCTTATTCTTCAATGAATGTATGGGCACCTTTGATCCGAAGGATCTAAAGTATGGTCTAAAGTATGAAGCTTTAGAATGGAGAAGTTGGAAGATAGTTTTTCTTATGTAGCCCTGTGGACTAGTTTTGGCAAACAGGGGAAAGAGCACACTCTCCTTCTTGCTGGGTGTTCCTCCTTCATATCCCAGCCATGGCTCCTAGAGGCAAAGCAGAAGCTGGGAGGTGCTGTGCTCTTAATTTCACTAAGTTGCAGATGCTGGCACTTCCTTTCTAAACTTTTGGTGGTTTGTGGTAATGTTGAATCTTGTAGTGCTCTGGTTCCTAGCAGGGTACAGATGTTTCTTGTCAGCTTTGGCCATCTTTCAGGGCTATAAATACTACCTTTAATAAAGAGCAGTGATGAAAGAGGACTGTGATGTATAGTGAGGGGAGGCTCTGTGAGCTGGCATGGCTTTTGAAGCAACATTTTTACATTAAAGACTCGGTAGATTTGTTAGCTCACTTGGGTATGCCTTGCTCTTGTCAATTGTTAGAGATGGGAATTTGGAATGAGTCGTGCCTGATTTGAATGGACAAGGTGTTGCTCAGGGCTTGTGCCAGGGTACTCTGTCATTTGCTTTCTTCACAAGCTTGATTTAGGCCAAATTTAGAGAATTTCAGACATTTGCTAGTGGTTTTGGATAGGGCCAAGGAGGCATTTTACACAACAATGATGGCAGGAGGGGCTTTTTTTCTTTTCTAGGATAACTGATGGCCAGTAATATTAGTGTTGTTGGAATTGTATTTACAGTGTTAATTTCCTACTAGGCATTGAGGCTGACTCCCTTTTGTTAAAGCACCATTTTATTTACACTGAAATAAATGCAAACCAGTGCAAATCCCCAGTTCTTGCAGGGACAGGTTAGATTTCTGTTTTCCCCAGATACTTGATAAAGAAGTTGTACTCACACGGTGAATATGTGATATTTCTGATGTTGTAGAAGCTCTGAAAGAACGGAAACAGAGGTAAAATGGGCAAATCTCTGTTCTGCACATGTCCTTCTCTTAAAGCATTGATGAGAAGAGAGGAAGCAGGTGATGATTTGTGGCATGCAGAATACAATTTTTTTTTATTTTAAACTCACCTTATATGAAATCTCATCTGTGAGGAGTTAATGAGTGGCTAGCAGACATTTGAGCAAATGGCTAGACAATTGTTACTGGAGCACAGTGATCAGTTGTTTTAACCATGGCTTGTCAAGTCTGAAAATTACAGTGGTATGTGAAGCTGTGGTATGTTGTTTAAAGTGCTGTGTGCACAAAGTCATCTTTAACTCATTCCACTCATATCTGTCCTGTGCATGACCCTTTCTGATCATTCATTATCCCTGTGTAAATGGCATTTTAGTAAAAAGAATCTCTATTTAGTATAAAAATATAGAAATAAAATTAGAAACGCTGTCACGTGCACACACACACATACACAGAGCTGAGATTTTGCAAAAAAATTTCATGCCAGTGTCAGAGAAAAACTCTTCTAAAGTTAAAAGTCTGCCTTTGTGCATGGATGTGTAGGTGGGAGTGCACTTTTTGGTGCAGTGGGCTCTTGCCTCTTTCATGGGTGAAGCAAAGCAGGCACACAGCTCAGCCAGAGCTTTCCCATTGTACTAGAGGTGGGAGGAATCTGTAAGTGCATGATTTATCTGAAGTGCCCTGGGACTACCATGCTGAGCATTTTGACTTTGAGGAGCAGGTGAGGGAAATAATTGCCACCATGAGGGAGCAGGAAGGGAGGAAGGAGTTCTTCAAGCTGGCGTGGATGGTTTGTGTCTCTCATAATCCAAACTGGGTTCCTTGCTCCAAATCCTGCTTTTTCTAGCAGTGCATTCCTGTGGGATGTCCACTGCTCATGGGCAACACAGAAGCCGCTGAGAGTTCTGGTGATACTATTTTAGATTTAAAGTTGTTTTGTTTCCAGGACAACTGGGGAAGAATGAGGAAGGGACTTGTTCTGACTCAGCTTGGAGTAGCTGATCACCCAGCTTAATCACTGCATTTCTCCTGGAAAATGGTTAATTTCCTACTTTTAAAGAGTTCTCTTCAAGCCAAGCAAGCAATTGGGTTAAAAAAATACTAATGCAAGAAGCATTAGTGCAGTTGCAGCTGTAGGCTGATAATAGCAAAGAGGTCTCTCTGAAGTGAGCCCAAGTTGAGAATAGGATAGCAGAGTCAGAAGGAAAGTCCATGTTTGTTAGAAACCCTTAACTTCTGCTGACTGCTAAGTGAATGTCCCTCTTCTACACTGCTCATTCAATTAAGTGGATTTTCTTACATTCTGTCCTCTTGCCTCTGTGCACTTAATTGCCTGCTGTTGTAAGAGGAAGCGCTAATGTAATCTCATTTTTCTTCTTTCCATATTCTTTTAATCTCACAGCAATGTTGACCTGCAGAATGTGGTGTTAGACTCCAGTGCAGCCATGGGGAGCAATGAACTTCAGGAGAAAGATGCCACTGGAGCCCTTGGCCACGACCTCAGCAATGGCAGCAGCAGCAGCAATTTGGAAGCAGCCAGGCGCCTGGCTAAGCGCCTCTACCATCTGGACAGGTTCAAACGCTCTGATGTGGCAAAACATTTGGGTAAAAAGTATGTGCTGATATGAGTACGTGCTTGGCCACGTTCTTACTGATGATTCTGGAGGGGTTCACTCTTGAATGATAACCTTTACTTATTTCTTCGCTTTTCTTTAGCAATGAATTCAGCAAGCTTGTGGCCGAAGAATATCTTAAATTTTTTGACTTCACAGGCATGACCCTGGACTGTTCGCTCAGGTACAATTCCATTTGTGGACTTCGTATTCTTATTTTATTAACAGTGCTGTTTGCAGTATTGTCCTGATTTACATGGTTGCTCTTTTGGGATGTAAGAAGATGAAGAGAGGACTGTGATGTATTCTGGGGACAGAACTTTCTTCTTCTGTTTGGCTTGGTCTTCTACTCTACTCTAGTGCTACTGGAGTGGTGGCCATGTGGAGAGGGAAATACATGGGTGGACCTGCCTAGGGATGGTCCTTGAGAAGCTGGAGAAAAATGTCCAGTCACTGGCAAAACACAGACTTGTAGTCTGCCAGGTGCTAGTGAGGAATTACAGTGTTGCTCGCAGCTGATCTACACAGACTCTATGGCTGATGCCTTTTAGAGCTTACCCAGCTTTGCTGCAGTGCTCTAAGACCAGGGTTTAGTGTGGTTTGGCAGCTTCCCTCCCTGTGTCTCCCTGAGGAATCCAGAAATGTGCAGAACAGCAAAAGCTTCTACGTGGAAAAAGCTGTAGTGAGTTTGATAACTGTTGGTGTGGGTGTTTGAAGACCCAGCCCTTTCATTTTCTTTCCTTTTTACACTGGAATCAGACCTCAACAATATTTTTTTTCAGTGCTTTTTTTCTCAGAAGTCAAAAACACTAAGTGTGTGTAGCAGTGCGCAGTTGCTGGTGTTCTGGTGTTTGAGGGGATTTAAATGAGTTTAACTCATTTGACTGAGGTTACTTAGGTGGGAATTTTTTTCTAATGAAAATCTAGAGGGTGTGCATGCACTTCTTAGCTCCTTTGCAAATGCATTTCTGGGGGTCTGATGCCATGAGACCATAGCAGATGAAAGGCACCCACAAAGTCCTGCTTTCTGAAGGCGGTGGAAATGGAACATGCCTGCACAAACATGAACTGCCTGGTCCTGAGGCAGGGCGAGTGGAGCCAAGCTGGAGCACCTGCTCAGCATGGGGCTCGAGGTTTCTCAGCAACTGAGCAACTGAGGTGTTGCTCAGTTCCAGGTTTCAGCACCCCTGAAGTGTGATGCTAAATATACCCTTCTTATAAATTGTGAAATCCAACACAATTGCTTTGTGGCACATATTTAGGAGGTCTTTGCCTCCCTGTAGATCTTCTGTTAATATTAGTAGTTAGGACTTTCTCTAAAATGTGCCCAAGCTCATGTAGGACTTAAACAAGCCAAGGGGTTGTTGAGGTTTCAAAAGTAGCTGCAGTAATTGTCAGCTACATGCCCTAAGCATGTAGCTTAGGTGGGGACAAAGAATTGTCCCAAAGCCCGAGGGAAACTTGAGACATGCTTCCTCACACTTGGCAGAGAATGAGAGGAAACAGTGCTGTTGTTGCTGGCTCACTGACAAGCTGTGGTTTATTGAGCATTTTAGGGGCAGTTGCTGAGATCTGTGCTACCTTGCAGCTGTGGGAGGCAGCAGTGCAGCATCGGTGACAAGTCTGAGAGCGGGGAAGGGTTGTTCCTTCACTGTCCACTCCCTGGATCCATGCTGCCCGTGCACCTCCTGAGTACATCTCTGAGTACATCTCTGCAGGATGAAGGAGGGAATGTGGTGCTGCTCCAGCTCCTCTTAGTGTGCATTCTGAGTCCATCCCTGGACACGGGGAGAGCAGACTTAAGGCTGCTCAGAGAACTAGTTAGTAAGGTTCTCTGGGAAAATGCTTTCAAAAGTGCTGGAATCCATCAGTGCTGGTCACCACCTCCTTAAGTGCACAGGAGCAGGCAAATCCAGACAAGGCAGAAGGCTAACTTGAACGACCAGGGATCTTCTGGAACTAACAAAAGAAAAGGTGTTTGTCCAATGTGAGAAAGGTCAGGTGATGTGGGAAGAATATAAATTTGCTGTAGAGAGAAAATTCCAGCTGACAAAGTTTAGCAGGAGTTGAACATTGCTAGTACTTGTATGGGACAACAAAAATATTTTTTAAAAACAAGTCAATAGACTCTGTGGTGACCTGTGACAGGATGCGAGGGAATGGCTTAAAGTTGTGTCAGGGGATGCTTAGGCTGGACGTCAGAGAGAGGTTCTGCACACAGCAGGTGATTGAACAGGCTCCCCAAGGAAATGATCGCAGCACCAAGCCTGACAGAGTTCAGGAAGTGTTTGGACAGCACTCTCAAGCATATGGTGTGATTCTTAGGGGTATTCTCTGCAGAGCTGGAAGTTGGACTTAGTGGTCCTTGTTAGGTGCCTTCCAGCTCAGTGTATTCTGTGTTCTCTGGTGGGCACAAACTAATCCCTGTGACCCTTGGCTGTAGCATTGTGCTCTGAGAGTGAGGAAACTGCCTTGTTTATTTACCAAATATTCTTTCATTAGTTTCCTCTCCTGGTTAGCTTCCAAGGGGGTGAATGTGCTGCAGAGGAGGAAAAGGTGTAGGTCAGTGGTACCTGGCATGGACAGGGAGTGTTGCTAGAAAGAGCCCAGACTGCGGAAGGAGACAGAAAGATGACTAATTCTCAAAATGTGCCTTAGGAGCTGTTGTGGATTTAGGAACAGTATTCCCTAATTCAATGTTCCCACTGAAACACTCCAAAACATGCGCCACTTGCTCCCTTCCCCCCCACGCCCCGCAATGGGGAATCTGGAGAGGAGAACTGGAGGCACAAAAGGCAAAGATCTAAGATAAGATCTTAGATAAGGTTGAGATAAGAACAATTTATTGGAAACAGTAAATGAAACGAGAAAACGAAGGGTAGCAATATTAATAAGAGAGTGTACAATACAGGTGAATCATTCACATGCAGGCAGTCACCATGTGGAAACCAGCAATACCCTGACTGCTCCACCATGATACCTGACCAGAAGGAACGCCTCTCCCTCACAACATGTACCTGAGGTTGTACAGAGTAACATCAGGCTCCTAGGCATGCTCCTCCTGACTACTGCAAAAATTAACTGTCCTGGCCAGAATCAGTATGTTTTCCATCTCTTATGCTGTACCACTTATACCATGTCCAGGTCGACACCTCCCAGCTACATATATGTGTCTGCGTGTATATATAAATGCAAGCATGAGTATCACTTCTGTAGTCAGTGGCTGTCCTTTCAAGATGTTTGTTGAGTTTGTTTAGTCCATGACTGTGGGTTCTATCTGCTCTAGGTGTTTTCCATGGCAGGAGGGCTGCTTGCTTTCACCTGGTTGCAGTCTGCATCAGGAGCTCATGACTGGACCAGTGTATATTCATTCTCCATAGTAGTTACAGCATACAGTGGCAGTGCCATTCAGCAAGCAGTATGGTACAATTGAACATTACAGACCATTCTCACCCAAAAATCAATCCCCTTGGAGTACGCCTCGTGTTTCCCTGTCCCTCTACATTACCCATCAAGTGCCATCAGGTCCTTGCGCAAAACCAATCCTATGAATGGATTTGCCTTTGCAAAAAAGGGGGAACCAGTCCCAGTTGTGTTCCCTAAAACGTTTCTCTATGTCATACCACAGGGACTTCATCCCCTGCTACAGTGCATAGTAATTTTGATTGGGCAGGACCAGATTGATTGGTAGAGCCTCTTGTATTTACTAACGAGATGGCCTTTGCTAAATGCAGATCTGCACGTTTGAAGGTTCCACCACCCATTGCTTTCAATGTAATCTTTTACTGTTCAATTTTCTCATTGCATAATAGGCGATGTGTTCGCACTCAATCCTGTGCTCTCTGGCCCGTGTGTCTGTGGAGCTCCTTTTGAAATGAGTCCTATTATTCCAACTCAGTTCTTTCTGGGGTACCATGTTGCCACAGAAGTTGCATCTCAAGGCCCAGGATGGTGTTTTGGGCCCTGGTGTGAGGCACGGGGTTAATTTCCAGACACCCAGTGGTTGTTTCCACCGTTGTAAGCACTTGCAGCAGTGTTGTGGAACTGATTTGCCAGGCTGCCCCATATCTGTGTTTCAACCACCATACCAGGGAGGCCTTACCTGCTTGGCCTGCTCGATTGCAGTGCATGTTTCACAGTTATGGGTGACTGAGAGGCATTGTCCATGGCTAAGTCTGCCCCTTGATCACAAGTCCACATGGGTGTTGTGTCTCTTCTCTGATGACCTGAGGCAACTTGAGCCCACTGAGTCAGAAGTAATTTGCTCTTACGTTGCTAGTCCAGCTTAACCTGAGTCGCTTTAGTCGTGGAGGCCTGATCCACCTCTCCATCGTAGCGGTGTTCTTCAGCAGCCTGACTCTTGGGCACATGTGCATCTTGTGATGTTCTTCTACAGCCAACTTCTCCACCAGGGCAGCCATTTTATCAGCCCAAGTGAGTTTCCATCTGCACTGCTGATTGGCCTTTTCCTGTCAGTCATGTCACTCCATTATCCACGAGGTAGAGGTAGGTTGCTGGCCATTTCTCTTGTTCGGTGATACCTAAAGCCAGCTAGATGGCTTTCAGCTCTGAAACCTGACTTGATCCACCTTGTCCTTCAGTGGCTTCTGTGACTCGTCATATCTATCTATGGCTGCTTTCTGGTTTTGATTTGTCCCTGTGATAGAAAAGGGACTGTCAATAAAGAGATCGTATTCTTTTTCATTTGTAGGTAGCTGATTGTATGGTGGGGCCTCCTCAGCATGTGTCATCATCTCCTCCTCCTCCTCTGATGATGGTAGTCTGAAATTTTCACCTTCAAGCCAATTAGAGATGACTTCCAAGATCCCTGGGTGATTGAGGTTTCATATTCAAGCTTGCTGTGTGGTCAGAGTAATCCAGTTACTCCACAGTGGCATGATGTGTTGCACGGACCTTCTCTTTGAATATCCAGCCCAGCACTGGCAGCTGGGGCACCAGGAGGAGCTGTGCTTTGGTGCCAGTCACTTCTGAGGCAGCTCCAACCCCTTCATAAGTTGCCAGTGTCTCTGCTTCAGTGGGGGTGTAGGTGGTCTCAGATCCTTTGTATGTTGGAATGTTTGTATTCCGAACTCCAGAACACCAGGGGTCATTGTCGAATCTTCACATCTACCGTTTTGGTAGCGACTTCCAGAAAGACCATTCTTCCTGGCTGTACTGTGGAGCATATTTTTTACAACTTGTAGTGTCCTGACTGATTACTTCATGAGCAATCTCCTGTTTAATTTGTTCAAAATCTTATTGTTGTTCAGGACCCTGCTTGAAATCATTCTTCTTTGGTATCACTTGATAGAGAGGTTTTAAAAATCTGACTGTGATCTGAAATATGCATCCTTCAAAAACCCACAGTGCCTAGGAAAACCTGTGTTTCCTTCTTGATAGTTGGTGGGGACATAGGTGCTGTTCCAGTGACCATGTCCTTTGGAATCTGATGACATCCATCTTGCCATTTAACTTCTAAAAACTGAGTTTTCTGGGCAGGTCCCTTGATCTTACTTCACTGTGTGGCAAAACCAGCCTTCAAGAGGATTTGGATTGTCTTCTCCCCTTTCTCAAAACTCCTGCTGTGTTGCCCTGCGTGATCATGTTGTCAATAGGTTGCAAGTATTCTAGGACCTCACCCTTTTCCTCACTTCCTTTTCCAATGCAGTCTGGATTAGTCCAGGATAAATAATAGGGTTATGTTTCCATCCCTGGGGAAGTCAGTTCCAGGTGTATGTCACACCCCTCCAGTTAAAAAATCGAGGCCTGCATCCTGCTGCTAAAGGAATTGAGAACAGCATGTTAGCAATGTTGATGGTGGCACCACCTCACTGCTTTGGACTCCAGCTCATACTGAAGTCCCAGCATGTTGGGCACAGTGGCACCAAGTGGTGGTGTGACTTCATTTAGGGCATGATAATTTGTTGGTCCCTGGGCTCACACACTGACCATGTAGGACTTCTAAAGGGTTAACAAGTCTTGCTGACCACTCCCTGGCTCTCCAGTTCACGATCATCTCCTGGTTGGGGTCACAGTGTCCCAGGTGATGCAGCATTGTTGATGGTGCAGCAGCAATTCGGTGGTGATTGTACCTGTTGTTCTTCAGCCCTCAGCAGGCCCTGAACAGAGGGCTCCTCTGAGACACCAGGCAAGGTGTTCAGCTGTCTCGTTTCCTCTGTCTCCACAGCAGCTCTCCCAAAAATCCTAACAATGCCTTTTTGGGTCCTTGAAATACTCTTTTTTGGGGTAACCTATGCTAAGGATGCACAGGGCCTCTGGACCAGTCACAGTGGGATGCTTTTGCTGTTCATTTTGAGTCGTGCTCTCTCCACCTTCTTGTGCTGTCAGCTTGGGATCCCCCTGGCACCAAGAAAGAGATGGATTCTGTCCCCACATACCTTGGTGGCATCAGGGTACGTCATGTGCTGACATGAGATAAAGCCTTACACTCTTGTGTGTCTGATGTGCCAGAGCACTGGAGCCACACAGTCCAGTAGATCTGATTGGCCCTTTCTTCTGAAACCTGGCTGGGGCCTCTGTAGTTCTAGTAATAGTACACGTCGTTCACTTCTTGTAAATATGACCTGGAGGTCCCTTCAAGAGGATCAGAAGTAACATCAGCCCATATATTCAAAATTAACTCTGTCCTGGCCAGAACCAGGACAGGAGCACAAAGTAGGAAGGTCAGAAACCCTGTCAAGATTCACTTGTGTCTACTTCTGAACTGGATTATTTGCAATACATTACATGTGAAATTAAGGTATTACCATGCAGATCACACTCTGTGTGGGTGTGAGATTGTTGAAAGTACAGCCTATCTCTGACCTTATATCAGAGAGAAAAAAATTAAAGTTTGTGCATCGAGACTAGATAGATATGAATGTTCCAGCAATATATTCCATTCCTCTCACATCTGGTGTTAGTTTCTGTCTAATGTGATGTTTAAAAATTGTCTGTTAGTCATTCTGTATGTCTTCTTACTTCAGATCCAGAAGTTTTGTGTTTTCAGTATTTTCTTGGAAGCATCCTGGTAAGTGAATGTAGGAGGTCATCTTTGGCTGTGAGATGCATTTTTCTATGCGGGCAGAACAGCAATGTGGTTAAGAGGAGGTCTGATCAAGTAGAATAGAAGTGGAAGATGTGTGTCCTCTCCACCTCTGTGCACAGACTTGCTGTCCATATCCAGTGAGTGTGCCCACATGTGCACCAGCCCTGTACCCTGGGCTCTCTTGAGCAAGAACCTCAGGAGGGCCTCCTCCTGTTGTTGAAGCTCAGTGGGAGATGTTGCAAGTCTTCTGCCCTTTTGCTCAGATATTTTCTGCAGGTCCAAGTAGTCAAACTCTTCCCCCGCTGATATGTTCCTGGCCATTCTGATAAGTGACCACCATTTGGTGCTAGCTGTGAGTGCTGTGTGCAGCACTCCAGACTTCACCACTGGAGTAGCTTTTCTGATTTGGAGAGCAGTACTAATGAGTAAAGTTAAAAGGTGCAGGGGTGGTGGGCAATTAGAAGAGAATAGGGAACATCTTGGATATCTTATCATGCATAAAACACACATGTTCCAATCCCTTGCACATAGAAAAAAAATTAAAAGAACAGCTCTTTCAAATGAGAATTACTTATTATTTTGTATATTCAGTGACTGAGACCACTGGTAATTTAAATCATTCATTTACTAAAATATTGGAGTTGCATGCAGAATGGTAGCCCGATTTCCTAGAAAGGCTCCTTGGAACTGAATGTGTGCTCATGTACTTCTTGCTGTGATGTGTGCTTTGCTCTGCGTATTGTGTGAAGCAAAAAGAGATTTATTACCTTATTTTCATTTTTTTTCCCCACTGTTCTTTTAGGAGTTTCTTTAAAGCCTTTTCACTTATTGGAGAAACTCAGGAACGAGAGAGAGTCTTAATCCACTTCTCCAGCAGATACTACCAGTGCAACCCAAATGCCATTTCTTCTCAAGGTAACTTTGTTTCTGATACTGAGCTCTTTGCTTGTTGCTGTCTTCCTTAATTCTCACTTTCAATAGCACACGCATATGGTGTATGCCTGGAAAATGAAGCTGTGTGGTCACTGTACCACAGTGACTACACAGCTTCAGATTTAGATTGTTTCTGGTAAGCATCAAAACCCTCAGCACGAAAGGTGTTCAGTAGATATAGGTCCTCAGTATAAATCCTCAATTGTGGCACCTCCTGATTTGTCCTCAGTTGTGGTTTCTGGTCTCGCTGGCTTCGGTGTGTGGGTGCTTGTACTTCAGCTGCACTCATGTGGACAGGAGCAGGTCCCGTGTCAGGTGAAAGAGAGGCTGTTCACTTTCCGTGCTCCATTCAGTGCTTGTATCTGCATGCACTGGCATCAGGCATGCCACTTCTTGCCAGTTGTGGGGGTGAATTTTGGGTGCTGTATCCAGACCCTGGCATGGTTTCATCTCAGCTAGCTAACATCAGTCAGAGTGCTCCTCCTTGCCAATGTTTTCAGTCAGTTTGGAAATAAGTGATGGAAACAAACAAGCACATAGATCAAACCTGAGAAAACTGGGATTGCAGAAGAGGACAAACTGTCTGTTGGCGTAATGCTGTGTTCAGCCAGACATGCTGGCAGAGCCTTGTGGCCGTGTGATTGTAGCACATGCTGATCACATACTGAAGCAGGAGGCAGTTATCAGTTTAGCTGTAGTTTTAGTTTCAAGTGTGAGAAAGAGCTGCTACAGTTGGAGGTACCACAACACCTCATTACCCCTTGCTTTGTGACCTACCCCTGTTGCAGTGAGATAATATTTGGGCACTTTGGACCTCTTCAGCATTATTGGCTGTCATTCAGGGGAGGGAAGGAGTTGGGAGTAAGACAGGATCTGCTCCTGTGCTGTCTCTGTACTCTGCCTATTGCCTTTCTTATTTCAAGATACTGTAGGCAGTCAGGTAGAACACGTGCGTCATGTCCAGAGTGAAATAATGACTTGCCTGATGATGTGGCTGCCTTACTCTAGTCAAGACTGCAAGAGCGATATTGCGACTTTGGACCCTGAGTAAGCATTTGAATCCTGCACACTTAACCCAGGATCTTAGTACTATGCTCAGTTTGGGCGTCACAATATAAGAAAGATACGAACCTATAAGGGAGTATCCTGAAAAAGGATATGAAGATGGAGAAAGGTCTAGAGGGGAAGCCAGATGTGGAGCAGTGAGATCGCATAGTTTGCAGAGCCTGGAGAAGAGGAGACTGAGGGGAGACATTGCAGTCTAGAGCTGCCTCACACGGAGAGGAGAAGGGGCAGGCACTGATCTCTTCTCTGTGGTTACAGTGACAGGAGCTGAGGGAATGCCTTAAAGTCGCGTCAGCAGAAGTTTAGGTTGGACATCAGAGAGAGGTTCTTCTTCTGGTGGGTGGTTGGGCACTGTAACAGGCTCTCCAGAAAAGCAATCACAACACCAGCCTGACAAAGCTCAAGAAATGTTTGGACAATGCTCTAAAGCACATGGTGTGATTCGTAGGGATATCTTGTGCAGAGCTACAAGTTGAACTCCATGATCCTTGTAGGGTGCCTTCTAAACTTGCTTGGAAAGGTATTGCAGCTACTACTACTACTTTTTTCCTGAGTTGGGCACAAAGAAGAGGTTGACAAAAGTTCCCAGAATGTTCACAATCAAACTTTTCTAGCGAACCTTAGAAAATCAGGAATTTAAAACACTACTACTACTACTACTACTTTTTCTACTTTTTTCCTGAGCTGGGCACAAAGAAGAGCTTGACAAAAGTTCCCAAAATGTTCACAATCAAACTTTTCTAGCGAACCTTAGAAAATCAGGAATTTAAAACAAACATTCAATCAAAATAAAGCATTTCACAGAACATTGACTTAGCAAACCTTACTTATCCAATCTTAATTACCCATTTCATTTCAGAAAACAGAAATTAGGAGTAGGAAAGAGGAAAAAGAAGCAAAACAAAAGAGCAAAAACCAAGATACAGCTAGTGCCTTGGATCCTGGTGTCCAAAGACAATAGGGACAGAACCACACATCCTGGGGTCTGCTCTGGCTTCCTGTGGCAAGCAACCCCTGGGGGTGCTTCCAGTCATCTGGCCATCCCAGGGCTTGACTGGGGCTCCAGGGCAGAGTTGGGGCATTGCTTTCAGTGTGTCAGTGATTGGTGGCAGTTCTGAACTAGAGGCTCCAGAGAGTGGGGTGTGGAGCAGTGACCCTCCCATTTTCTGCAGAGCTGCTCTCTCTACATATACATTCCAGTTGTTTTGAGACAGTAATAATTTTTTTCAGTCTCTCAGTCCTCCAGCTCTGTTCTATGGTTCTATGAATCTGACTTATTGCTGAGGGCCTTGGCCACAGAACCAGCTTAGCACCTGCATTGCTCTCTACCCAACATGGAGCCAAGGCAGCATAAGTAACTGACTGTACTTCTCCAAAATTAGGTCTAATTGAGCTCTGAATGAGTAGTAAGCCAGAGGGGGAGAAAACCAGAATGCCCTGCTGCACTCACTCCTTACACAAGAACAAATGTATTTTACTTTTCCCTTTCTGCACTGAAGTAAATGAAGAAGAAGGTGTTGATTCAGACTGTAATATTGGTATTAGGAAGCTAAGAGTGATAGCGTGATTTCCTGTCTTGCTTGCCTCATCCATGGGTTCTGCAAGACAGTTTTGACAGTTACTAAAAGATGAAAGAAAGACTGTTATGGTTTGGCAGCTGTGTGATGACCTCATTGTTAATTTATTGAATTATGTATCTTTCTTGATAAAACAGATTCTTAGGAAGGGAACAGACACAATTAGTCTATGAGTCTCCGTTTCAGCTTTTTAAAGATCCAGATGTGGTTTTGCATGTGACTGGTTATTTCTCTTTCTGCAGATGGAGTTCACTGTCTGACGTGTGCCATGATGCTGCTGAACACAGACCTCCATGGCCATGTGAGTATGCACAGCTTTGTGTAGACTGCTCCTATCCACACCATGATGGATAGTCTTGTGGCAGTCCCTGTGCTGGTGCCTTCTCCTGAAGCCCCTGCAGACAGCAAACAGCGAGAAGGCTGCAGTCCCAGGCTGTTGTCTTGGGCAGGCCTTTCCAGCGTGCCTTGATCAGCCATGTGTAAGCTGGCATTTTGCCTGGCATTTGCCATACTGTCTGAGCACACTCCCTGACCTCAGGGCCATCTTTCTGGTGTGCTTACTCTCCTTCCTGCAGCAGGCCCTGACTGGGAAGCTGTGCTTGGGATTGGCTTCCCCTTTGCAGTATGTACAAACATGTGGGAAGGCAGACTAGAGATGGGAGGTGAAGAAGTTTTGAGAAGGTCACAAAGGGAAAGTGATGTTTGTGGTCATTTAGTTGCAGGGGGCAGATCTGGTGGTAGCAGGGTTTTGCACAGACAAACGATGGGTGTACTCAGAGCCAAGAGAATGGAGGGGGGGATGTGCACATGCTGAGTGGGAGCCCTGTGTTCCTGTGTTGCACACCTCTCCCCATTGCCTGCCTGGGTGAAATAGTATTCTGGTTTGAGTCCTCTTAGTCACACTGCTGCAGGGTGCCAGCAGCCTTAGGATGGGTATTTCAGCACCCATGGTGCAATACACCTGCTGTGCAAGGTATTCCCATGCTGATGGGAGTCTTCCTCTGCCCTGGGGTTAGGATGGAGTGTGTGAAAACACAAGGAGCATGGCATTATAGTATGCAAAAGCAGTAGCTTCAGCAAAATGGCTCTGGGGCTTCTCTCTGGCTCTCCACTGTACTTGCAAGGGCTCTCCCAGGAGGGTGTCTGTTGGGAACTCCTACACATCAAGGGTGTTGGATTGGGCAGCAGGACATGGAGACATCCTGGGTCTGTCTCAAAGGGCTGCTTAGCCCCTGTGGGGGTGCAGGTAATAAAACTAAGGCTTGAGTGTTCACAACGAGTTCTGAGACCCACCTCCCATTAATTGAATGCCTTTGTCTGAAGGTTGTAGAAGCGAGAGGGGGGTAGGGAGTTGTGAAGAATTTTTTTCTCTGAAGGCTTAACCTTGCCTCCTGAAGGGTGTGTAAGTCATGTGTGATGTGGCCAGATGTGGGGCATATAGGAATGTGCTGCAGTTTGTCTCTCAGCACACTTGGCTTCTCTTGAGGACACCTGAGTCTTTCTGCACAGGTATCCTGCTCCCCAGAGTGGTGAGCAGCCTGGGGCTCCTGCTTTACAGTCTGTCTGGCCCCACAGTCCAGGGAGGAGACCAAATAGTGGTCACACATCAGCCTGACAGCAATTCCCATTGCTCCCTGCGATGCTTTACTGGGCCGTACTGTCTTCAGTAGGTACTGGAATAAACGATCTGGCTCTGACCCATCATTGCTGCTGCTGACTCTGGTTGTTGCAGTGTGTAACTTTGGAGACTTCTCCCACTGGCAGTTGAGTGTGTTGTTATGTATATGCAGCTGCAGTATTTGCCAGACTCCTGCTTGTATTATGTCTGTGGGTGTCTCATCATGTTCCCTCAAACACCTCTGATTTCCTCTAATTTTGGTATTTTTCTTACTGCTTTGCATTTTTCCACACAGGTGGTAAGTTTGGCGTTTTTGACTTGGAATGCAGCCCTTGCAAGATACACCTAATTGCCTGTTTTCTAACAAAGATAACACTTTGCCCCATCCTTACCAGGATTCTGCTAGAGCAAGAAGCAATTGAGTACCAGGGCTTGTCTTATACACTGAGCTCTATTTGTTACTGACATACTGATCATAAGCACAGACATTTCTAATTGACAGTCAGCTCCACTGCTTGTAGGGCTGTAATGCAGCTGCTCTGCCTTCAGTTCACACTTGCCTTTAACTCTTGTAGACAAACTCTTACTTAATCCTCTTTATGTTCCCTGTCTTGCCACACTTCTATTTGTAACTAAACAGTTTTTGCTAGGTGTGTCTTGGAAATGCATGCTTGCTTCTCTGCACAGAGGTCATCACCCACACTGGTTCCAGAGAGTTTTGAGATCTCTCCAGACCACCAGGCATATCTTCTGTGGCACTGTATGGAGATGTTAGCTTTGATGCTGCAGCAAAACAGCCATTTGTCTGCAATGCCACATTGCTGTTGGCTTTGGTCAGCATGGGAAAGCTGCCAACTGCTGCTTGGAGGAAAGAAGTAGAAGCAGGCTGAAGTTGCAGGGAGAAAAGAAAGCACTTGTAAATCTACTAGACCAGCTCCAGCCTGCACCTGAAGACTGAAGTTATAAGCTGTGTTCTATAAGCTTTGCAAACATAGAGCCCGGGTTACAGCCCATCTGTGTTGTCAGGAGCCAGCCTGTTGTGGGAAGCCATGAATTGTTCCAGGGCTACTGCTTGCCTTCTTTCTGTGGGTTTATGCTGGCTGCAGGCTGTGGGCTGTTCCTTATTGGCAAGGTGAGGCTGATGGCCAAGATTTGGTGGTTTTCCTGTCATACATTATGGAAGGGCAATAGAGGATATGCACTTTAAGCTGTCATGTAACTCATAACATTGAATGCCTGTATTACCAACTGGTGCCCTTTCTTGGGCTCCAGTCCTGTTTTAATTTGGGCTTCTGCTCCTAGCCGAAGACAAAGCTCACAGAGAGATCTTCTGTTGTATTTCTACAGACAAAACATGCCCTGACAGTGGAAAAGTCTTTACTTCCATCTCATGACTGAGAGTGGTGCTATCCTCAAAGATACCATGACTATCACAGAGCCCTATTTTCCCCTCTGTCTACTGCATTTCACACCTCACCTCAGGCTGCTTTCCTTTTCTCAGATGTCTTTGGTGTCCTTTTTCATCAATGCAGTGTTATAATTGTTGCCTACTCACACGGCTCCCCGCATGCTAAGCAGGGGCCTTCTAGCTCCTGGGGGACTGAGTACAGACACTTTTTCTGAGGGGTGATGGAGGCAGGGATTCAAGAGTAGTTCAGGGCAGCCTCAAACTTCTGGATATAGTTTGGCTCCTACACAGACATGTAGGAACAGCCAAACTGTTCCTTTCTGTTTGTGGCTTATTTGGGCAACTTTCAGTCTGAGGCTTAGATAGGAAGAGAAAGAGAGTGAGCCTATAGAAATGTCAAAGCAGCCTCAGCCTGTGAATCAGAAAAGGTAATGGCCACATCTGGGCACCACACTTCAGCTCAGGGCACTTGCCACTGAAAGGAGGCATCTGAAATTGTAAGAGAAGGGTGTAGAAAGGGCCTCAGTCAGGTGTTTCCTGGTGCCCCACAGCAGATTTAAGTAGAGCTTTTCCATCAGAGACTGGTAGAGCTTTAGAAGATGTGGGGATATAAGGCACCATGCAAATAACAGAGATCTTCATCATTATCCTCTTCATTACCCCAGTATTAAGCTGGGATTTTTTTTGGGGGGGTGTATGTGGGCCTTTGGGTACAAAAGCACTTCCCCTTTTCTAGCTATATGCATACAAGGATGCTAATCTGTGAGTAATCTCATGAATGTGTTCTTAGTGTTGCCTGCCTTGGGCTTAAGGGAGAGCAGGAAGATGCATCTAATCTGATGTTGCTTGTTCCTGTCATTATGGAAAGCAGCAGGAATATGATGTTGTGTTTCTCTGGCACTCCTTTCAGAACATCGGGAAAAAGATGACCTGCCAAGAGTTCGTTGCTAACCTCCAGGGGATGAACGATGGCAAAGACTTCCCGAGAGGGCTCTTGAAGGTAAGGAATTAACTGCAGAACATAGGTTTCATTTCTGCTGAAAGATGGTTCAAAGCAAAACCCATCTTGCATTTTCTGAATCTTAATTGTCAAACATGACAAGCGATGGGCACCTTTCTCCTCCAGAACATACATAATGTATATAATGTTTATTTCCTTGTTTTCCCTCTTGCCTTCACCTCATAGTGAAGGAGACTCCGCAGCACAGAGAGGTGAAACTGAGCTGCGGCAGGTCTCGCCCCGGAGCTGTGTGCTTTGTAAACTCCTGTGGTTATGCCAACCCAGAGTGCTGTCTCCTGATTACAGCAGACAGGAGCAGCCAGTTGGCTCTGACTGCGAATACATTAAAGGCTAAGCCTGATCTCTGTGTACAATCTGGAAGGCGTGTGTGTTTTTTCATCAAAGGTGCTTTGGGGTATTCGCATTAGAGCTGGAGATGTAATTTCAGATTATGATGTGCTATCTGGCACAGGCTGCGTTGCTTCAGCTTTTGTTCATTAACTTTGTGCCAGGAGTTAAATCTGAAGAATGGGGGAAGAGGCTAAGCAGGACAAACCTTGTTTTATTGTCAGTAATAATGAGAATGTTTCGCTTCTTTTTATTCTGATTGCTAGCATGAAACAGCACTTTGTTTAAATGAAGACAGGTGTGCATACACTGGAGTTCATAATTTTTTTTTTTTTTTTTTTTTTTTTTTTTTTGGTAATGGAAATAAAAATAAGAGGGTGCCACATCTTAGAGCTGACCCAATGCCTGTTGAAGTGAACCAAATGAGTTGCCATCTCTTGTGTGAATTTTGTGTCATGATCATTGTGAAATACAGATATACTTGCATAGTTGAAAGCAGCAGAGTTTGTCGTTTAGTACTGGTTATTTCTTCGTCATCTTCATCTTTTTCAAGGAGATTTTTGTTGGCCCCTCCTGCTTCAGTTCTTACTAAGCAATGGGAAATATTAAATTTTAGATTTAATGTCTTTAATTTTTGAATCTGTATATCTGTCAACAGCCACACTTAAATTACTTTTTCCCCCAAGGAATCTCATTTCTCTGTTTGCCATAGAAGGATGTGTTGAGATTAATTTGCAGGCTAATTACAGCCCTTACTGAATAAATAGATCTCCAGACTATTTTAAATAACCTGATTAAATAACCTGACTGTACTGACAAGAGACTTCCAATGGTGCTCCTGCTGTTTGTTTTCCTGCTCACAGAATTATACAGTTGGGGTTGTACCTTCGTGTTTAGTGCTCACCTGCTAATGCTAGGGATGTCTGACTCTTCACCCAAAGCAATACCAGGGCTCAGGATTTTTTGGATGTAGACAGACAGAAGAAGTTTGGAGTTGGTGTCCCATGTTGCTTCAGGCTTTCTGCCCTTTTCTGTGTGCTGCCTTGATGTCTTTGGGACAGAGTTGGTGCCCAAGAAGATTTGATAAACTAATCCTTGTTTTTTAATTTATTGGTGGAGGGGAGTGGAGTGAGTACGAGTAATTGTGCTACTTGTGTTCACAGCAGCCATTCTGCCACTAAATGTGAGATTAGAAAGAATCAGCGGAAATAAATTTTTGCATTAGTCTTAATAAATGAAATTCATTGTACCTCTTCAGCACAGCACCAAAGTGCATGTGGCTTGCTGGTGCATTAGCTGTGTAGCCACTGAGCATGGGTGAGGTTGCAAGCCTTCTCCCTGCATCCTTGCCCAGTGTCTGGGAGAGGAAGAGTGGTTTCCACAGGGTGGCAGTGTATCCCTGTGGGAGTGAGGTCCTGAGCACCCACTGGTGCCTAACGTGGTGAAGCAAGTGAGCTTTTCTGCCTCTGCAGTTTCTCCACGTGCTCCTCATGGCCCTGCTGCACCCTTGTGTGAACCTCTGCAGCTCTGCTGAGCCCCAGAGTGAAGCTGAGCAGTGGTGGAGGGGAAGGAAGGCTGTGGAGAGCCGGGTGTTCTTCCAGGGCTTGTGAAGCTCTGTGCAGCATTCATTGTGGATCCAGTTCCCAGAGTCAGGGGTGCAAATGCAAATGCTTGTGCTATCCAGGACAGCTGGTCGACAGGCATCAGTCAGATGTCACCTTCAGTCAATCCCTTCACCCTGAGTGTGGAGTGTGTCCCTGAGTGTTTTGTCTGGATAGGAAAATAGCACATCAAGGGCCAGACATTAACACATGAGGAGGGACAGGCTTTTGTGTGATCAGCCTCAGAAAACTTCGGACATTGGATCAAGTTACTCCTTTCTTTCACCTCCATGGGGGAGCTGTCTCTATGTTTTATTAAGTTTTTTTCCAACAATGAGAACACTTTTTGTACAAACCACAAGGCCTTCATGACCTGATTCTCTGTGTGTCACTAGTTGTACTTTGACAACAAATTATTTCACTCTGGTTTGAAAGTAGAAATAAGAAATGCTAATGTGATCTTCCTCACCTTGTATCTTGCTGTCTGTTCATTTGACATTGAACAAGGTTTTGCTTTTGTACACCCGTCTGCACAAAGAATCATTGCCTTTTTCCTCACTCCTTTAGTCAGATCCGAGGTTGCTTTTACAGTTGGGGCTCATAAAGACAAATATGCCAAACTGTGATTAAAAGTGCACTTCTCCTCATGGGGTCTGCTTGTAATATTGGAGTATTCATCACACATATATACGTAGAAAGGGAAGCCACGGCTAGGATCTCCCTCCTTGGAAAGAAAACAAAATCTGTCTTGACATTTTGGCAGTGTCAAGAACCTCATGATGACAGTGTAGGAGTGGTTTATTTCTCACATGCTCACACCAGCTTTAATCTTCTGTAGTGATACCATCTTCACAATTATATGCTAGGGAATTGTACTGTGTGACTGTAGCCTTGTTCAGAGCTGGGCTTCACGAGATTTTCTGGAATGAGGAGGAGATTGGCTTGGAAAGAGCCTAATTTTGGCCATACATTCTTGCTTCAATGCCTGAGGGCAGTGTGGTCCCCATAAATAAAGTGCTGGTATGGTGCTGGCCACAATATTTTCCTCTTGTCATCTTGAGACAAGGTGTGTGGGAGTCCACTCCAGGAAGATAGCATTAACAAGGCCTTTCATATGTAAATAGAGAAAATGTCTTCCGTGGTCCACAGAGAGCCTGCAAGAAGGCATCACTGAGGAAACGGATCCCTGCTTTTGTTAGGCAGTGTTCTGGGAGGAGTACTCTGTTGTTAGGCTGTGTGCAAAGTACCAGCTGTCGTGCATAAGTAAATGTCCTCTGCATTTACAGCATCCAACACACCTCATTCATGGATTCACTGGCATCACCCAACCTCTGACATGGGCTGACTGGTGGTGGTGATGCCCCATGACATCGAGTGGGGAAGTCATACCTGGCTGTGTGTTTTCTGGTAGGAGGTGGTAGCTCTTCACTGACCTGTTGTACTGTCTGGGAACCTCCATCATGCTGAGATACTTGGGATGCACTTGGCTAGACTCGTCCTTTCAGGGACACTGCTGGTGGAGATAAGATGCCAATCCTTCATAAAAGATCTGCTTTTTCTCAAAGACTGCTTTTTGGGTAGGCCTTATCTCCTGCAGAAGCACTGTAATGAAGTGACCAAATTAACTTGGAGTTGCTGGTGCTGAACTCTTCTGAAGAACCCGTCCTCCTTAATTTCCTACATGATCTGAATTCTTGATTAGGATTCCTGGGATATGTAATTTCCTATAGAAGCTGCAAAGTAGGGTTTATCTCATGTTGCTGTCAGTTCCCTGCACTGTAATTGCGGGGTGGTTTTGCCACTGTCTTTCTGCCTCCTCTTGCTCTCCCTCTTTTTTTTTTTTTTTTTTAATTCCCTTTGAAAGCCTTCCAAAGCAAATACTCAATTTAAAGAGAATTACTGGCATCTTACTTCATCCATTCCAATCATTTCAGGTATTTAGCAGAGAGAATGAGCATCAGGTGGCTAGCTTCTCCTCAGCTCCCCTTTGCAGAGAGGAACTCACACTAATTGGACTGCTGTGTGTACCCTAATTGCTCTCATCAGCAGTCTCTGTACTTCATCCATTTTGTGGCTTTTTGGCAAGAAATTCCCACCTTCGAGGGAAGCCTGATGAAGCTGGGGAAGTGAGAGCCTGTGACAGCATGCCAGAATGGCCCCAGGAAGACTCAATTGACTGCTATAACACCCTGCAGCAGTGGGCAGAGGAAGGAGAGGACCAAGTTTCTTTGCTTCACTGAATAAGACAGAGCTCTGCCTCTTTGTTTCTTCCCCAAAGTAAAGTTTTTTCTCATTAAAAATACTTCTGTTGGAAATAGTATTTTTGGGCTGTTTTTATCTGTATGAAATAGAAGATTGGTTACAGAAGGCCCCTTTCAGCTGCTAGAAGACAACAGAGTCTAATCTGGCAGTATAAAAGTCAGGGAATGCAGGATTAAATTGTTAATCCTTGTCTTAGAACGTTGTTTGTGAAAGCATACTTTGCTTTCACTCTCAGAGGAGCCACAGATCTATAGGGAACTGTAGGTGACTGTAGGGAACACCTGGCTTGTCTTCACTCTTCTCCATCCTTGCTTAGAACCTTCCTGCCATGATAACCTTTGTTTCCTTCAACGTGGGGGTTTTTTGGGTGTTGTCATTTGTCCTATTCAAGAGCAATAACCATTTAAAGCATGCCAGTGGAGAACTGATAATTGGACCAGGTTATGATGGTGTGGGTATTGCTTTTGTCCCTTAAATTACAGCGATTCCTGACACTTTCCTGCCCTGTTGAAATGCAAATATATTTTCTTTTTGCATTTCAGGAACTTAGCTCAGTGCATATAAAAAGAAAAATCTATAATCTATATATTTTTTCTCAAGTCAAACCCAGATCTGAGTTGAAGAAAGCCTTATAATAGCAGAAGCCTAATACCAGCTGTCTCTGAGCAGGGAAAGCAGAACTTTAAACAAGGCTTAAAACATAACATTTTTTAAAGGTGATCCAAGAATTAGGATTGCTCTGCATAATCTAGGGGTGGTACAAGGGATTGCTTATTTTAGGAAGCAGGC